TACCTCATGAGTAGAAAAATCTTAAATCAGGGGATCCCTGAGTGGCGCAGCGCTTTGGCGCCTGCCTTTGGCCCAGGACGCGATCCTGGAGACCTGGGATCGAATCCCACGTTGGGCTCCTGGTGCATGGAGCCTGTTTCTCCCTCTGCCTATGTCTCTGCCTCTCTCTCTCTGTGTGTGACTATCATAAATTAAAAAATAAATAAATAAAAAGAAAAATCTTAAATCAAACCCTAGATAGACCTAAAGAAACTAGAGAAAGAACAACAAACAAAACCTAAAAGGTTTTGCAGAATAAAGGAAATAATAAAGATTAGACCAGAAATAAGTTATATAGAAACTTAAAAAAAAAATAGAACAGCAGATCAATGAAGCCAATGAAGCCAGGAGCCGATTCTTTGAAAAGATCAACAAATTTGATAAACCTCTAGCCAGACTCATCTGAGAGAGAGAGAGAGAGAGCGTGAAAGGACTCCAATGAACAAAATCACCAATGAAAGGAGAAATAACAACTAACATCCTAGAAATACAAATAATTTTAAGAGAATATTATGAAAAACTGTATGCCAAAAATTAGACAACCTAAAAGAAATGGATAAATTCAGAGAAATATAATCTATGAAAACAGAAACAGGAAGAAACAGAAAATTTGAACAGACCTATTACCAGCAAGACGATTGAATCAGTCATCAAAAAACTCCCAACAAAAAGCAGTCCAGGGCCAGATGGTTCACAGGTGAATGCTACCAAACAAAGAAGAGTTAATACTTATTCTACTAAAGCCATTCTAAAACATAGAAGAAAAACTTCTAAATTTATTCTGTGAGGCCAGAATTATCCTGATACCAAAACCACATCAGAGATGAACATTGATGCAAAATCTCAACAAAATACTAGCAAACAGAATCCAACAATACATTAAAAAAAATCATTCACCACAACCAAGTGGGATTTATTCCTGGGATGCAAGTGTGGTTCAATATTCACAAAATAATCAATGTGATACATCCCATCAATAAAAAAGAATAAACAGTGTAATCACCTCAATAGATGCAAAAAAAGCATTTGACACAGTACAACATTCATTCATGATAAAAACCCTTAAAAAATAGGTTTAGAGGGGACATACCTCAGTCTAATATAATAAAGGCCATACATGAACAGCCCACAGCTATTATGATCCTCAGTGGAAGCACAGAGCTTTCCCCTAAGGTCAGAAACAATACAAGAATGTCCACTCTTACTACTTTTATTCAACATAGTACCAGAAGTCCTAGCCAAAGCAATCAGACAACAAAAATAAATAAAAGACATCTAAATTGGAAAGAAAGAAGTAAAACTCGCTCTTATTTGCAGTTGATATGATACTATATATAGAAAATCCTAAAGACTCCAGCAAAAAACTACGAGAACTGATAAATGAATTTAATAAAGCCACAGGATACAAAATCAATATGCAGAAATCTGTTGAATTTTTATACACTAATAATGAAACAGCAGAAAGAGAAATTAAGAAAAGAGTCCCATTTACAATCTCACCAAAAATAATAAGATACCTAGGAATAAACAAAGAGGTGAAAGACTTCTACTCTGGAAACTATAAAATATTGATGGAAGAAATTAAAGATACAAATGAAAAGACATTCCATATTCATTGCTTAGAAGAACAATTACTGTTAAAATGTCCATACAACCCAAAGTAATCAGATTTAATGCAATTCCTATCAAAACACCAACAACATCTTTCACAGAACTAGAACAAAAAATCCTAAAATTTATATGGGACCACAAAAGACCCTGAGTAACCAAAGCAATTTTGAAAAAGAGAAAGCTGGAGGTATCACAATTCCAGACTTCAAGTTATATCACAAAGCTATAGTAATCAAAACAGTATGGTACTGGCACAGAAATAGACACATAGATTAATGCAACAGAATAGAAAACACAGAAACCCATAATTTTGTTGTCAGTTAATCTTCGACAAACCAGGAAAAAAATTTCCAATGAGAAAAAGAAAGTCTCTTCAACAAATGGTATTGGGAAAACTGGACAGCCACATGCTAAAAAATGAAACTGCACCACTTGAAGAGAGCAAAGGCAGTAATTTCTGACATTGGATCTAGCAACATTATTCTAGGTATGTGTCTCCTGTAGCAAGCAAAATAAAAGAAAAAAAAATAAGCTATTGGGACTACATCAGAATAAAAAGCATCTGCACAACAAAGGAAATAGTCCAATTAAAAAATGGGCAGAAGACATGGATATTTCCCCAAAGAAGACATCCAGATGGCCAACAGACACATGAAAGGATGCTCAACACCACTGATCATGAGGAAAATGCAAATCAAAACCACAATGAGATATCACCTCACACCTGTCATAATGGCTAAAATCAAAAGCACAAGAAACAACAAGTGTTGTTGAGATGTGGAGAGAAGGGAACCCTCTTCCACTGTTGGTGGGAATGCAAAGTAGAGCAGCCAGTGTGAAGACAGTATGGTGGTTCCTCAAGAAATTAAAAATAGGGTCACCTGGGTGGCTCAGTAGTTGAGCATCTGCCTTTGACTCAGGGCATGATTCCAGGGTCTGGGATCGAGTTTTGCATCAGGCTCCTTGCAGGTAGTCTGCTTCTCCTTCTGCCTATATCTCTGCCTCTCTCTCTGCATCTCTCATGAATAAATAAAATATTTAATTTTAAAAAGAAAGAAATTAAAAATAGAGCTATCCTATGATCTAGTAATCGCACTACTGGGTATTTACTCAAAAATAATCCAAAAACATGAATTCAGAGGGACACATGCACCCCTATGTTCATTGCATTATGTACAGTAGCCAAACGATGGAAGCAGCCCAAGTTTTGATTGATATGGATAAAGAGGATGTGGTATAATAGACAATGGAATATTATTCAGCCATAAAAAATAAAATCTTGCCATTTGCAGTGACATAGATGGAGCTAGAGAGTATAATGTTAAGCAAGATAAGTCAGAGAAAGACAAATACCATATGATTTCACTCATATGTGGAATTTAAGTAAAAAACAATGAGCAAAGCAAAAAAAAAAGAGAGAGAGAGAGAAACCAAGAAGCAGACTATAGTGAACAAACTGATGATTATCAGAAAGAAGATGAGGGGGAGATGGGTGAAATAGGTGATGGGGATTTTTTTAAAGATTTATTTATTTATTCTTGAGAGACATGGAGAGAGAGGCAGAGACACAGGCAGAGGGAGAAGCAGACTCCCCGGAGAGAGCCCAATGCAGAACTCATGCCCTGAGCCAAAGACAGACGCTCAACCACTAAGCCACTCAGGCATCCCAGTGATGGGGATTAAGGAGTGCACTTGTCATGATAAGTACTGGGTGATGTATGGAATTGTTGTATCACTATATTTGCACCTGAAACTAAGATAACACTGTGTGTTTACTGGAATTTAAAGTTAAAAGAAAAAAGAAAAAAATAGAAAATGTTTCAAGAAGGAGGAAAAGATGATGTTGATAGTGCTTAAATTGAGAAAGATGAGGATAGAGATCCCTGGGTGGCGCAGCGGTTTGGCGCCTGCCTTTGGCCCAGGGCGCGATCCTGGAGACCCAGGATCAAATCCCACATCGGGCTCCTGGTGCATGGAGCCTGCTTCTCCCTCTGCCTATGTCTCTGCGCCTCTCTCTTGCTCTCTCTCTCTGTGACTATCATAAATAAATAAAAATTAAAAAAAAAAAGAAAGATGAGGATAGATAATTTTTGAATTTGGCAAATGGAAGTTATTGCTGATCTCTGACAGTTTTGGTGGAATGATGGGCTCAAAAGTTCACATTTGAATAAAAGGATGTAAGAGAAATGAATCAAGTATAGACCTCTCTTTAAAGAAGATGGGTTGTTTTGTTTTTTTGGTGAAGGTGACTTGATAAATGAAGAAGTAGCTGGAGGAGAAGGGTTGTTTTTCTCTAAAGATTGAAGATATGCTAGATACCTTCCTCTCTCTTTCACACTTCCCCCAAATTTGAACCATCACAAAGTTCTTTTTATTTTACCTCATAAATCACTCAAATCTGTCCTTTTCTTTCAGTTACCAGTGCCCCCATCTTATTTATCATTATTCCTCATATAAATTACTGCAGTATAACTGACCCTCTACCCTTAACTATTGTCCTCATTATATCTCTTCACATTTCTAATCAAGTCACCCAACCATTTCATCCCATCCTCATTATATTATAAAGGACTTCCCATTGCTTTTAGGATAAAGACAAATGATATGACTTTTAAGGCCTTACATGGTCTGCCCATTTCATCTCCCACTTTATCTTGCTTTCACTGCTTCTGCTTCACTATCCTAATCTGGCCCCTAGGTCTTTATACTGATATTTTTTCTGACTGGAATATTCCTTCTTCTGCATCTCCCTTCCTTCACAATACTCTACCTAATAACTTATTATTACTTCAGATGCTCAATTCAAGCATCTTTTTCCCCAGAAAAGCCTTCCCTAACCTCTCTAACCAGATTTATTCTCTTTGCTACATATTCCCACAGTACACCAGGCACCTTTCCTTGACAACGTTTTCCAAAATCATAATTTTTCATTTTCTTGTCAGTGTTTTATTAATATCTGTCTTCCTTAATAGTGTTTAACCTCCATGAGAGCATCTGCCTTTGGCTTACATTGTGATCCCGGGGTCCTAGGATCAAGTCCCACATCAGGCTTCCTGCATGGAGCCTACTTCTCCCTCTGCCTATGTCTCTGCCTCTGTGTGTGTGTGTGTGTGTGTGTGTATCTCATGAAATAAAATATTTTTTAAAAATTTGTATTCTATGAATAAAATAGGTGTAATGAATCAGTAACATATGAAAAGGGAATATATATGTTGGTTTGTGTTATAAAAATAAGAATATAGTAATATTTTTTTATTTTGAACCTTTGTGTATAACTATTGGAAATAATAGTTTAAGTGGTTTATAATGGAACTCATGTTTAATAATATTCTCTACCATATATTTTTCAGAGAAATATTTCAAAATTCCAAATTTAAAGCAACTGATGAGAGATGCAGGCAAAGATCATCAAAGGCAAATGTTAAAGCTCATTCTCAATGTGTCTTTATTTCTCGAAATTTTCACACTGGAGGATTCCAATTACAGGTAGTGTATAATACTTTATAGAAATCTTTTCAAATAATTTATATGATACTATGTCATTAACATTGTTATCTTTAAATTTGAAGGACAGAGTATCCACTGTTATTTTTAAATTTGAGAGATAGTTACATGGAGCTAAAATTAAATTACCTAAGCTAGTTAGGTTTTATATTATAGGAAACTGAAAAGCTAATTGAAAATGTCTGCTTTTATAATTGCTTCTGTATATCTCTAGCCTGAGAACCTATACTCCTCATATTGAGATTGCTATAGGAATGAAGATAAATGGTGTAAGAAAAGCAAAGCAAAATTACCAGGCCTATTTTAGGAAAGTGATTTGGAAGTAAGAGGATACTCAGATAACCAAATAATTTAACAAAACCAACTAATTGAAATTAAGTACAATTTAACAAGGATTTATTAAGACTTCATTGCATTCTAAACTCTGGGAACCCCCTATTAAGGATGATAAGATATGCTAGAATAATAAAAGTGGGAAAGCCAGACACATAGTTAACTTCCTGTTATGTGGTGTCAAAACAGTGTTACATGGACAAAGTAAAATAAGGGAGATACCAACAGAAATTTAAAACTGTGATATAACTAAACAAAACTAATATTAGTGGTTTATGGTATCATTATTATTATGATAGCATTAGTAAATAGCAACAAATTGATAGGATATCAAAGTTTCATTGTACATATTGAATATTGAACTCAAGTTGAACTCAGCGTTCACTTGCTTAACAAATATTTTTCAAGTATCTTAAATATGACTAGTTTTGGCACTGAGGCTACATAAACAAAAAAGATATGAGTTCAGACCTAGATGAGCCCAAAGTTAGCAGAGAAGAAAAACATAAACTAAAAATTACAACATAATGTGGTAAGAGCCACAAAATTGAAGAAATACAGACAAGGAAGCATAAATTGAGGAAAGCTTCATAGAGAAATTTTTAACTAGATTTTGAGAAACCAATAGAAGTTTGCCAGGAGGAAAGAGAGTGAAGGACATCCATTCTGTGTTCAAAGGCTTGCAGCTATGAAAGTAACATGTTCAGTAAAAATGTTACAATGTTTGGGGCCTAGAGTTCACAGAGGGAAGTGGTGGGGGATGATCCTGGAGATAAGGTTATGAGAAAACTCATTTATAGCCTGGGGTTTGGGATTTTACTCCATAGGCTTTACAGATCCACTGAAGGCATTATGGGATTATGGTCAAGAGCATAGACTGTAAAGCCAGTTAATGCAGGTTAGAATCCTGGCTCTACCACTACTAGCTGTATAATCTTAGGCAAATCACTTAACTTCAGTGTGTCTGTTTCCTCATCTGTAAATGAGGATGATTTCATCTCTAAAGAATCCTTATGGGAAGTAAATTAATTAGTATGTAAAAAAACACTCAGAATTATGCTCACATAGTGAGCACATTACAAATTTACCATTATGACTACTGAAGGGTTTTAAGCAGGTGGATTTAATGATCAAATCAATTCTAAAGATTAATAGCTCTGACTTTGAAATAAAAGATTGTTTGAAATTGAGATTTCATTCAGATAAAAATGTTTCTATGCATGCATTTAATATTAATTGAATTTACTGAGTATCCATCACATGCTAGGCATTTTGCTAGGTACTTCAGTATAATGATGTCTTCATACCTAATGATAGATACAGACAAACAGACAATTACAAAAATGTCATGAGTGCTATGATGGAAGAAGTGCACATATAGTAGTACTGTTTATTTATTTTTCATTCAACAAATACCTAATAAAGGCATATATGCTAGGTACTATTCTAGGCAAATGGAAATTTGGTAGTAAACGGGAAAGATAAGAGTCACTGTCCCATGAAATTTATAATCTAATGGGAGAGATAAATAATATACAATTAAATATAAAATATTATTCAGGACTCTTGATAGTCACTGATAGGAACCTAATTCAGAAAAAAAGAAAAAAACGTAGTATGAAAATATGGTAGGAAAAGAATAAGGTAGTGCTGACTTCATCCACAATCAATTTAAGTACCAAAAGATTCTTTTTCATATCGTCCCTCTTTTTCTCATCTCAGTTTCTGCCTGTGTATTGGCCTCTTCGTCACCTCCTAGAGGTAGTCAGGAGAATGAAAATTGTAACAAAAGATATGGCTTAATATATAGAATTAAAGCTTAATTACCAAAAAAGCATTTATTGTGAAATACAGTATACAAACAAAAGAATACCCACAAACAACTTAAAGACTAATAAATGTAATTATTTATACCCACCACCCAAAATAAGAAATAGAATATTACCATTACCTTTGAGGTGTCCTGAGTCTTCATTTATCTCTTAGAGTCAATATCCCCACCCTTCGACCCATTATCCTATAATTGCAGTTAATCATTTCTTTGCTTTTCTTTATGGCTTTACCACAAATACTGTAGATCCTTGAACAATGTATTATTAAGTTTTACATATTTTTAGACTACATGTCTAGTATACTCTTACTTTTTTGTACTGTTTCTGAGATTCATGTAGGTTATGTACTGTTTCTGAGATTAATGTAAACATATATATACTCATAGTTTATTATAGACTTTTTTTACAGTATTCTATTTTATGAACAAATCAATTTTTACATTTCATAAATAAGCCTAAAATTAAAAGACCTCAAATAGCCAAAGCAATCTTGATAAGAACAAAACTGGAGGTATCACAATGCCAGATATCAAGATATTCTACAAAGCTGTAGTAATCAAAATAATATGGTACAGGCACAAAAACAGACACATAGATCAATGGAACAGAATAGAAAACCCAGAAATGGACACACAACTAATATGGTCAACTAATCTTTGACAAAGTAGGAAAGAATATCCAATGGAAAAAAAAGACAGTCTCTTCATCAAATGGTGTTGGGAAAACTGGACAGCAAAAGAATGAAACCGGACCACTTTCTTATACCACACATACAAATACATTCCAAATGGATGAAAGACGTAAATGTGAGACAGAAAACCATCAAAATCCTAGAGGAGAACACAGGCAGCAACCTCTCTGACATCGGCTCTAGCAACTTCTTACTTAGACATGGAGGCAAGGGAAACAAAAGCAAAAATGAACTATTGGGACTTCATCAAGATTAAAAGCTTCAGTGTCATGTCTAAAACCTTTCTCTAAGGTGGTAAACATTTATGCCTGTATTTTCTTCTAGAAGTTTTAATAGTTATATTTAAGTGTTCGATCTATTTTGAGTTAGTTTTTGTATATGGTGTGAGGTATGGGCCCAACTTCATTCATTTGCATGTACATATCTGGTTGTCCCAACACCATTTGTTGAAAAGACTGTTCTTTCCCCAATGATTGGAACACTTGTCAAAAATCAATTGACTATAAATGTGAACGTTTATTTTTGGAATATCAGTTCTATTTCATTGATCTATATATCTGTCCTTATATCAGTACTACATCTTCTTAATCATTGCAGCTTTGAAGTAAGTTTTAATTTCAGGAAGTTCTCCAACTTTGTCCTTTCTCAATATTATTTTGCTGTAAGTTTTATATTTTATATTTCTTTGATCGACTTTTAGTTAATTTTTAAAATAAAGTGTGAGGTTTAAGTCAACATTCATTTTTTTGGCTACTGATGTCTAATTGTTCCAGCACTATTTATTGGAAAGGCTATCCTTTTTACACTGAATTGATTTTGCAGCTTTTGTCAAAAATCTGTTAGGCAAATACGTGTGGGTCTATTTCTGGATTCTCTGTCTGTACTGTTGACCTCTGTCTTATTTCTACCAGCACCATACTCAAGCTACATGGTAACTCATAAAATTGAGCAGGATGGTTCCTCTAATTTCTTTCTTCTTTTTCAATATTTGGGTTTTCTTTCTTTCTTTCTTTCTTTCTTTCTTTCTTTCTTTCTTCTCTTTCTTTTTTGCCTATTCATATACAATTTTAAGATAAATGAATCTCTAGCTACAAAAAATCTTGTTGAGATTGTGATGGAAATTATATTTAGTTTATAGATCAGTTTGGAGCAAATTGCAATCTTTATTAAAATTGATATTTATGTTGACCTGTGTTCTGTGACCTTTATAAATAAATTTACTTATTACTTTTAGCAGCTTTTTGTGTGTGTGTGTGGACTCCATAGGATTTTCTTCAACACAATCATATCATCTATGAAAAACATCAATTTTACTTATTGTCCAAACTTTATGCTTTTATTTTATTTTCTCATCTTGTTATACTGGATAAGACCTCCAATATAATGATGAATTAGAAGTGTTGAGAACAGTTAGCCTTTTTGAATCCCTGATGTCAGAGAGAAAACATTCAACTCTTCATCAGTGAGTAGAAGGTTAGCTATGGAATTTTTGTAGATGCATATTATCAGGTCAAGGAAATTCCCTTCTATTCTTAGTCTAATGAGAGATTTTTTTGTTTTGTTTTTTAAGTCATGAAGTTTGCTGAATTTTGCCAAATGGTTTTTCCACATCTTTTGACATTGTTTACATGGATTTTCTCTTTTGTTAATGTGAATTACAATGTATTTCAAATGTTAAACCAAGCTTGTATTCCTGGAATAAACCTCATTGGATTTGATTTACTGATATATTTTAAATCACTTTTACATCTATGATCATGAGGGACATTATTCTACAATTTTCTTATCTTGTAATAGCTTTGTTAGATTTTTAAAAAGATTTTATTTGTTTGAGAGAGAGAGAAAGAAAGAAAGAACATGATCAGGGGGAGTGGCAGAGGGAGAAGCAGACTCCCCGCTGAGCAGGGAGACTGATGCTGGGTTCAATCCCAGGACCCTGGGATCATGGCTTGAGCTGAAGGCAGATGCTTAACCGACTGAGCCCCTCTTTTTTAGATTCTAAAATCACAGTTATTCTGGTCACAAAACAACCGTGAAATGTCTTCTGTTTTTAATAGTATCCACTTATCCTTCTGATGTCTGTAGAATCTTTAATAATGGCACTCGTTTTATTCCTCATTATATCTCTCTTTTCCTAAATCAGTCTTGCTAGGAATATGCAATTTTATTATTCTTAGAGGTTTCCTCTTTTATAATATAAACATTTAATGTTTAAATTTTCCTCTAAGTACTGCTTTTGCTGCATCCCACCAATTTTTATGTTTGGTTTTCATCATTATTCAGTTCAAAATATTTTAAAATTTCCTTTTGTTGTTTTTCTGATATTGACATTTTTGAAGAATACAGTCAGTTATTTTATAAATCATAGACTCATTTTGACTTTCCTTGTGATCAGATTCATTTTATCACTTCTGAAGACATACAATGTTCATCTGCTTCCTCTAATGATTTTAGTTGATCACACAATCAGGATGATATCTGTTCTTCACCCATTGTATTATTCCTATTTTTACCCTAACAATTAAATAATCTGTGTGATGACACTTTGTAACCATGTAAATATCTTTTCTTCATCAAACTCTACTTACCAGCTTAATAAAACCATTCTACTACTTCCATCTATATTTGTCATTTGGCTTTCTACTATAAGAAAAAAGCTCTCTTTATTTTATTTATTAATTTGTGTAGACTTAATGGGTTTGTATGTTATTCAGCAGATGATAATCCATTGTTATACTTATTTTGATGTTCAGATTTTTCCAAATTTAACCAATGGGAACTCCTTTCAAGGATGTTTCTCTTTTTTATATGTCCCTGTCATTTTTCGAGCTCTTACTTCTGAAACTATAGCATTATTTTTAATAGTTGGAAGAATATTTATTGTATTAGTATCTATGTATCAATACATTTAAGTATTTCTTTGCATTTAGAATTTTAAAATGTAGATTTTAAAAATGCTTAGCAATGTTGTAAAAGACTTTCTGGCAACTGAATATTTACACAAATCCAAAATTATTAACTTGGAATAATACATTTCTAGAAGTAGATTTGTTATATTTCCCTCAAGAAAAACTCTTCCTAATAATGGGCAGCAATATGTAAGAATGTTCATTTTGCTATTCCCTTAAGTTTGGGTGGAATTTCAATCATCTAGGGCCTTATTCTGTGATCCCCAGACCAGTGAGATTGTCATTACCTGGTCACATCTATTAGAGATGCACAATCTCAGACCCCACTTGAGACCTGCATTTGAACAAACTCCCCAGGTAAGACACAGGCACATTAAAGTCTGAGGAGCAGCGTTCTAATATAATTTATATAGGAGTCACAAATTGAATTGATCCAGGTAAGGTAAGTCAGGAGCCTATACTGGCATTTATATTTATAAAAGATTAAAGTGACAATTAAGAAAGTTGATTCTGAAAAAAAGTGTTTATATGTTATTCTATATACATATGTGTTTGTGTGTGTATATATATATATATACACGTGACATATATACACACACATGCCCTCACACACACACCCTATATATATGTATATCCGAAACAAACCATTTTGGGGGACAAGACAAATCAGATCAGCATGGAGTATTAACACTGTTCCCCCAAAACACAAGAAGATAATGTCATTATCTCTCCCCCACACACACTCCATCCCAAACACCCTATGCAGTAGCCCACTGTTTATCTAGTGGTCTAAGGAAAGACTGAATCAGAACTGCTTGTATGTTACAATGCATACCCCCAAACCCCTGCCAGAGAATCTGTTAAATAGTAGAGTCTGATATTATGTCCAAGTATCAGCATTTTAATAAGCACACCAGGTGATTCTGATGCCCTGGAGTTTGAGAACTACTACACCATAACAGTTCCTAGAACACATCTGGAATGTATTGTTTGAGCAACTGTTTTATTTGCTTCAAAAGAATAGTTGCATTTTAGTAAAAGTCTTCAGCCTGAATTCACTTTTTTGTTGTTGGTGGTTAATGGAATGAGTAAGTCTAGGAATTCTAATTACTTTTTTAGCCCTTTCTAGTTCTAACAAATGACTCTGAGTTAGTTGGGAGGGAGAGAAATAATCCTGATGAACTCTATTTCACCCTTCCATTCCCTATCCTGAGACTGCCTTCTTGAACCAATTCACATTCTTTCCAGATGATACCTAAACACTTTTTTTTCCTGTAAATATATTTTGGTGAAATAAACTCATATCATGGAAAAAATTCCATCAAAAATTTATTATGATGTTAAAATAAATTATTCTTATATAAATATATGTTAAATATATTAAAGAAATTACCTAGAAACCAGTTTTTAAATACAAATAACTTTTTTTATGTAGGAGGAGCAAAGAAAAAAGGAAACAGCACGTATAAAAGGTAATTTTTCTCAACAATTTATTAGAAGAAATCATAATCAACTTAGAGCAATTTGTATCTTAAAGAACGAAGAGGCCTACCTAAATGTTATCTAAATATTCTTTTAATATTATGGAAATTGAAGGGAAGCATTAATGTGTTAGTATGTGGGTGGGCATATATTTCTTAAAAAACAAAAACTTGGGGCACCTGGGTAGCTCAGTGGTTGAGCATCTGCCTTTGGTGCAGGTCGTGATCCTGGGATTGAGTCCCGCATTGGGCTCCCCATTGGGGGGAGCCTGCCTCTCCCTCTGTCTATGTCTCTGCTTCACTCTCTGTATTTCTCATGAATAAATAAATAAAATCTTAAAAACAACAACAACAAAAACTTGCAATGTCTCATCTTAAATTAAAATGTGAAACAAATTTTTGTTCCTTATTTATACACAAAAGTATCATAGTCAGGGGCACCCAGGTGGTTCAGTTGGTTAAGTGTCCAATTCTTAATTTCAGCTCAGGTCATATCTCAGAGTTGTGAGACTGAGCCTGGCATAGGGCTCCACACTGGGCATGTAGCCTCTTTAAGATTCTCTCTCTCTCTCTCTCTCTCTCTCTCTCTCTTTCCTTCTACCTCTCCCCTCCTTCTCTCTCTCTCCTCCTCTTAAAAAGAAAAAAAAAGTATCATCGTCAATGCCATATAATAATCCTGGAGGGTCAAAAGACATAAGGATTTTATAATCCTCCAGATGTTGCATATTATGTCTTAGTACCTCAAAACATTACCCTCCTACATAATATTTCTGTTATACATTAATATCAAAGGCCAATATATATAACATATTATAAAAGATACTTAAGATACTATATAGTGTGATATTTTCTAAAACTTAACATTTTTAAATACCAACTGTGAAGCATAAATAATGTAATAGGAGAAGCATGAGTCTTAGAGTACTAGAAGTCTAGATGAAGTCTATTGTGTATCTGATTTGTGATGAGTCATCAGTCTCTAAATCTCGATCTTCTCCTTTGTGAATAATAACTACCTTGAAAAGTTATTGAGAGGGTAAATGAGATATGGCAATATATCAAACTGCTTTGCATATTTTAAGGCACTCTAACAATGTTAGTTGTTACTTTAAGTGGTGTAAAGCCAACCCATAGGTCCTTCCTACTATTGACCAGTCTGTAATCTGCCTTCTTACAGAGGCATGTGTTTTTAAATTTATTTTTAAAAATAAGGCAATACTTATCTATAAATATTTAAGAAACTATGTTTTCTGATATTAAGGGACATTCCAGAACTGAGCTTTCTAGCCTGCTTAGAATCTTCTCCTATTAAAACAGGTTGATTTTAGAGTAGCCTTTTCTACTCTTGATTATTATGAAATTATTAATCCCCAATTGCATATTTAACATTGTACAGACGATGATAGCAACTCAGAATTTTCACTATTGCATCCTCCTAACCATTTTAACCCTAAAATAAGTCTGAATTTTAAAAAGAAACATTGTCCTTATAAGTAAGATTTGGCTTATGAATATGTAATATTAATAGCAAATCTATTTTTCTTTTACAGCGATTAAAGATCACACTAAAGATGAATTCTGCTTTGCAACAAAAAAGGTCATTTGTGACCCCTCAGAGACTAGCTCGGCAACACATCCCAGCAGTGTTACCTTAAGTTTATCAACACTACCATCTGATTCTTATTACAGCCAAAGTATAGAAGCAGCTGATGACTGGTTTTCTGATGATACTCTAGCAAAAAGTACAATGCCTTTTCTCAGGGAACCTCTAATGGAAAAAGTATTTTCATACCTGTCAACAATTTCATTAGAAGACTGTACTGAAAATGAACTGAATATGACACTTTATGATGATCAGAAAGATGACAGCATTAAGGAAATATTTTCACGAAGACATACAGAGGTTGAAATACAAAACCTTCAACACAATATTGAATGACTTTTTTCTTTTGAAACTTTGTTACACTGAAATCATGGAAAGTTAAAACTAAATTACCAGCTTCTGAGTTTCTTAACATGCTCATACTATTACTTTTCTTGTTCTTTACCGTTGAGTGGTCCTACTTCCCTCACCAATTCTTATTTCTAGAAACAAAATTATAGGAAGAATAGAGTGATATCATGAACATTAAGCTTAACTCCTTGTATCTCATCAAAGGACATAATATATAACATGAATGTACTTCAACATACAAGAGAAATACTTTAAGAAATCTTCAGCACAAATAGATTTTGGAATAAAACATTCATAGCATTTCCTTATACTTTTGACATTTTCAATTTTATTTCAATCTGGGTGAGCCAAGCAGAACACTTCCATCAGCATTTCTGATTTTTAAGTACATAAATCTCCTACCCTTCAAATTTATTTTATCATGATTTTGGTGAACAATATAATTTTGCTCTTTAAGGGGAGCCTGGAACACTGAAAAATCCAGAATATAATTTTCTTTGCCCTTTCCTATATATGCTTCTTAGAATGGTTTCCCAATCCTTATTCCACTATGATGGACATGTGGGCAGCTATGTTCTTAAGCAGTTGATTCAAGCTAGATGAATCAGAGTTCCTCCCTAATCTGAGAGATCCCCCCTTCTTTTTTTTTTTTTACATATTTTTATCATTTTTTTAGGAATAATTCCAAATGAGTTATGAAGGAAATTTACTGAGTTTGATGAGTTTTCTAAAAACTTTTAATGAAGATAATCTGAGAGCCCCTTGGTTGGATGTCTATGTTTGGCCCTAAAGGATTTCTGATACACACCATGAAATTAGTGTTTTTCCCCCCTTTCTCCTAAATACTCCCCCATGTAATTAGTCTCTTTCGGGGGAAAATGATTAATTATAATAACTTTTGTGCTTAAGTCACTCATACCAACACCTGGACATATCTTCCCAATAGATAAATCATAACTATTACAATAAATGAAAAGAAACTTGTCTCGATTAAGAAAGAAGTATTGCCCAGGCCTATCATTTCTGTTCCATGGGAAATATTAAAAAGGATTAGAACACCTCTCTCTTCTGAAGCACCTCATCATTTCTGCTAGTTATCAGTTGTGAGAACATCTCTCTAATATCCACCTCCTATGTCTAAATAAGCTATTTCAGCTCAGGGTCTGTAAGGAAAAGAATATATGTAAATTGTTCTCTGTCTCTTGGTGTCCCACCATCTTATGTCTTACTACCTATGCTAGAAAAGTCATCTCTAATTTTGGTAAAATGCTAAAACATTCCTGGGAATTTGGGGTTGGAGATAAGAGATTCTGGCTTTGATCTGACTAGTCTTTGGAATAGAGGAAAAAACTGGGGAGCTATGGGGTGCCATGTCCCACCTTGCAGTTTGTGAAGGAAAAATAATAAATCTGCAGTAAGAGAGCAGTAAATCACTTGGAAAGTAAAAAACGGAGATGAGAGAATGTGATTCTTGGCCTTCTAATAGTCCTCCATTTCCTTCTTCCAGTCCTTTATGAAGACTGCCCTTTGCTTGGTATGGCACCCTTGTATCCTAATAATAAATTCCCCTGTTTGCTTAAGCTAGCAAGATTTGACATTTTTTAGTGTCCTGTTTTTAACTCTTATTCTGGGCTTTGGTAAGGTACCCTTGTAATTTTGTAATAAATTATCCTTTTTTGCATAAAGTAGAAAGAGGTTTGTTTCTGTTATTACAACCAAAGCATCCTAACCCAGTTCTTGTCATTACAAATGAGAGAGAGATCTATGCATATAAATTAATAGTTATATTATGATAGAATAGGTGGAATTAATTTCTCAAACTTAATACATTTACTTGTTTATTAAAATGTTATTCTATATCATAGGTATATACATTGCTCTCTTTGAAAAGACTAATGAGGGATCCCTGGGTGGCTCAACGGTTGAGCATCTGCCTTCATCTCAGGTCGTGATCCTGGGGTCCTGGGATTGAATACCACATCAAGCTCCCCAGGGGGAGCCTGCTTCTCCCTCTGCCTGTGTCTCTGCCTCTCTCTCTGTGTTTCTCATGAAAAGACTGATGAATAGTACATATGAAATTACACCAGTCTTCCAGCAGCCCGGGTGGCTCAGCGGTTTAGCGCCACCTTCAGCTCAGGGCATGATCCTGGAGACCAAGGATTGAGTTCCATGTCAGGCTCCCTGACACGGAGCCTGCATCTCCCTCTGCCTGTGTCTCTGCCTCTCTCTCTGTGTGTCTCTCATGAATAAATAAGATTTTTTAAAAATTATTGAAAAAAGAAATTACACCAGTCTAAAACAATCTTATTTTCCAGAACGGTGAAAAATATGAGATTTTACCATTCATGCCCTCTGACAAGTTAGCCTTCAATAGTTTCATGTCTCTTGAGTCAGTGACAAATGACAGTTTATAGCAGTAGCAAGGAGGCTTTTGAAAGAGACCGACACCCATGGAATAGATCATCTTGTCCACTTAATAACATTTCTTCTCATATTGCTCTTTGGGGAGCATTTGCATGAGACTCATTTATATTCATATTCTGTGTCCATTCAGAGAAACTTACCTACATATATCTTTCCTAGACTTCTTGTCACTGATTTTCCAATTGTATTCTTTACAAGTCCCCAACCATTCAGCCAAACCATTACCCACTCCAGTGAATCAGCAAAAATCTACACCTCTAAACATTTTCCTTCCAGGCTATACAACTAGTTGACTGCTCAAAGTTATGCCTACTGAGACTTTCACCACTGCCTATCAAAGCCATGCATGAGCAGGGCTCTAGACTCCAGCTGTGAACTTTGAGATGATGCTGGAATACCATGTAGAACTATCTGAAAAGCAGGATCAAGTATATTCTTTCTCAGTCAACCAGTGATAAATAACTATACTTGATGCCATTAGATATGTGTTGAGAGAGAGAAGACCATGTGGCAGTAGTAGGAGCCACAGGTATCTTAACTATTTTCTCATATAGTTTCTTTGTGCCTTAAGAATCTGCTCAAATTTAATTTTATACATCCTAAGGCCATTTGTAATTGAGTGTAGATCTGTATGCCTAACTTTGTGGCTTAGCAAATCAGACAACACCAGTTCATGGTGAACAGTTGAACTCAAAACTAAGTTGGTGGCCACGGTCGCATGTTAAGTCCCTTCTAGTCTAATAGTAAGCCAGAGGATGTTTCCAAAAGAATAATTATTGGCAGGTGTAACAGTTTTGTTTAGAATCCTATAGACTCTCCTTAACCTAGAGTTGCCTACTAGCGTCTCCAGAGAGTATATCTATTTGCTCCAAACACTTCACATAGCACGGATCTCCTGGGCCAGATGGCGCAAGTGGCAGGACAACTATCTTAGCAGCCTAGATCTGTTGCAGAGCTTTCTACCAGGCCTTACTCAGAACTGGAACTTCTTTCAGGTTACTCAGTAAGTGGGTCCGAGTAGCACATCCAAATGAAGTATATGTTACCTCCCTTATACAAAGGAGCCCAATATGCATTGTGCCTCTTTTCTAGTGTTTAAAAGTATCAGATGCAACAACTAGTCCTTCACCTTGGGATATTCAGACATGCTCCAGACCACTGGATGCTTAGTAATTTTATTGAGGCAACAGGCCCATGAGTTTCATGGAATTTATTTCCACCCTCTGGCATGCATATATCTTATCAAATTATCTAGCGTAGTTACTAATGCTTGCTCACCATGTCCAGTCAGTGTGATATCACAGATGTCCTGTGGTGTCCATTTGTGTAGGATGAAGATTAAAGCCCATTTATACTAGATATTATGACAGAGAGTTAGATAATGTAGCCCTGCAGTAGAACAGTGAAGGTAGTGCTGACCCTTAGAGATGAAATAAAACTACATCTTGTGGTCCATGCTAACAGGAATAAAGAAAAAAAGTATTTGCCAGAGGAATAGGTGGATAGCAGATACACTAAAAAGTATTGATTTGCTCCATCAATGAAACAACATCAGAAACAGTAGCTATAATTAGAAGGACTACCTGATTAAGTAATTTAAAACAATCCATTTCATTTACTAAGATTTATCTGTCTTCTGCACAAGACAAATAGACAACTTGAGAAGAGATATAACAAGAATCACGACTCCTGAATCCTTCAAGTGGCATTAACCTCTAATCTCTCTATGTGTATTGCTTTTGGTTTATTATTTTGGGAAGGAGAAACAGTTCTAGTGGGTCCCACTTGATTTTTGCTACCATAATCACCTTCATCCCATGGATTAGGGAACCAATGTGGAGATTTTGCCACTTGCTAAGTATGCCTATTCCAAGTATGCTTTCTAAGACTGGAGTTGATAAGCATGGGTTGGGCTTGGAATCCACTGGGCTCACTAAGATGGACCAAACTAAAACTACATTGATGACCTCACCTCCATAGGCTCCTATTTTGACCAGTGGATCACTGTGACATTTTAAGTCTCCAGGAATTAGTGTCAGTTCACAACCAGTATCTGGTAATCTACTTTTTATCTGGTTATTTCCCTTAGCCCAATGCACTCTCACACTGGCAAATGGATACAAATATTTGGAGAAAAGCCTGAAAGGAAGATTTACAGTGTAATAAAATTTGCAATGTAATTTTCAGCAGAGCAGCTGGGCCCTTCCTCAAAGGCCATCTTTTATCTAAAAGATTCACTAGCTCAAATCTGGGAAGTAGTTGAGAAACCATATACTTCATATAGCGATGATTCAAGTCAATAAAACTATCAGACTTAGAGCTTTTCCTCTTATTTAAATCAAGTAAGCTTTTATAGGTTAAATCTGTCTCCACTGTGATAGAGAATAACTGAAGTGCCTGCTTAGCTCTTTCAGCTCTCCAGCTGTTGTTTTGCCCCTAGATACCTTGGATTTCCACATATACACGAAACAGTTCAAGAATGAACCATGGCAGAGGAACTGAAGAGAAATTTTTCCAAAGACATACAAATAGCTAACAGGTACATAAAAAGGTGCTCAAAATCACTAATCATCAAGGAAATGCAAATCAAAGCCACAAGATGTCACAGATGTCACCTCACACCTGTTAGAATGGCTAAAATAAAAAACACAAGAAATAACAAGTGCTGGCAAGGACATGGACAAAAGGGAATACTTGGTGGGAATGTAAATTATTACAGCCATCCTGGAAAATAGTATGGCTGTTCCTCAAAAGATTAAAAGAACTGGGATGCCTGGGTGGGTCAGCAGTTAAGCATCTGCCTTCGGCTCAGGGCATGATCCTGGAGTACGGGATTGAGTCCCACATCGGGCTCCCTGCATGGAGCCTGCTTCTCTGCCTCTCT